AATCTTTACACCAGAAGCTGAGAAACCAAATCCTTAAAAGGTTCAGGAGGAGGCCACACAAGATACACCTGGAAGTGAGGGTGAAGGAGGAGAACTAAGATTAGGGAGGTTGGTTGAAGAAATGGTCTTAGAAATCTTTTTCTCTACTCTGTCAGCTGGGTGGTTGTCCCTCCCCAATCTCAGCAAAAGGTTGGGATTTTTTTTTATTATCATAAATAGGTAACCAGATCATCTCTGCACTAGAGACACCAGGCTGCATTAAGACTCAGACTTCCTGACTGAAACCCTGGACAAGAGATAGCTGTGGCCACGCTTGGTCTGTGGTCCCAGCCCAGTCTTCCTTCTTCACTCCCCACATGCTGGAAGCCAGGCAGGAAACACAAGTGTTCCCTTTGGGGAGTCTGACTGAAATAAGAGGGAAGACTTAAAGACAGTGAAGTTGAGGGTTCCTCAGTTAAAAAAAAAAGTTAGACCACCCTACAGTAAGGCTCATGGTTGACAAGTCCACTGTCCACTCCTAACTTTCCATCAGTATTTTAGAACCCATGCTTCTGTATGAGCAGACAACCAAGGATTACTTATGGGCACTGAGGAAGTCCTATATGCTGAATGATAGACCCAAACAGAGACAGAGAAGCAGCCTGGAAGAAATAGAGATGATTTCTTGATTTCTATGATGTGGAAAATATTTTTTAAGACTATATCTCCAATTATATGTATCTATAAGATGATGTGTATACAAATGTGTATATACAAATACATATATAAATTAATATCTGCAGGAGGAGACGTTGCAGTCTTGAAACAAGAGGACAGGATAAACAACAAGTTTCTACTGTATAGCACAAGGAACTATATTCACTATCTTGTATACCTATAATGAAAAAGAATATGGAAAGGAATATATGCATGTATATATATGACTGAAATATGATGCTGGTGTACACCAGAAATTGACACAACACTGTAAACTGACTAGACTTCAATAAAAACAAAGCATCATGCTGCATGAAATTCATTCTCGAAAGGTTACACTCCATCCGATTTCATGCAGGTGACATTCTCAAAAAGACAAAACTACAGTGACAGAGAACACATCAGTGGCTGCCCAGGAGTGGGGATGGGGAGACAAGACTGTGAAATAGAGTCGGGGGAGTTTCCCTCAGTGATAAATAGGACTGTCCTATACCCTGATGTGGCCGTGGTTGTGCAAACATACGCATGTGTTTACATTCATAGAAATGGACATGAAAGGGGAAAAGTCAATTTTACAGTCTGCAAGTTTAAAAATAAAATGTAAACACATAAAAAGAAAAAGTGAACAGGATAATACATATTCATACACATTCACGTATTTGTGAATGAAATGATGAATGAAAAACGGAGAAAGCCTAGGGAAAGGGGCTTTCCTGGACACTGGAAATCTGGAGGCAGAAACATTGTCCGGGGACACAGGTCTAATGTTCCTTTCTTTCCACAGTAGCAGGTGTGACTTTGTTGCTTTCAAGTTTGCCTTAAGAGCCAAGAGAGCCAGATGTTTGTCCACATACCTACCTAGGTTGGTGAATTCTTCCTGCAGGGTGATGTAAATCCCCAAATACAATAGGGTGGCGTCAGAGCGAGAATTAAGCTTCTCAGATCTGGCAAGAGTTTCATTCATATGGGCAGCATCCCTGACAGCTGCAAAGCCCTCATAAAATGAAAGGAAGCTAAGCTTGGACACATAGCATCTGTCCCTTCTCTGTGTGGCCACCTTGTGTGCAAAAGGATCTGCCCTCTTGGCCAATACAATCAGGAATTTAATCTAATTCTAGATTGAACGTCTGTGCATTGTGATGAAACCGGAAACCTAGACTTGGGATTGGTGGAGAACCACCTGCTTCCACCATGGTTGGGTTTGGGATGGGGCATCAGAATGTTGAAAGAAGGCTTGGTGGCCTGGGGGACACTCCAAAGTGTGAGATCTGTGGGGGTTGGAGTCACCTCAAACGGAGCTGGAAAACGCCACGAGGAGAGCCTGAGGTTTAGGTCCTGGTCTAGGGTTTTACTGTTGTCTGGATGTCCGGAATGATGATGTGGGGGAGCAGGACACCCCACCCCCGAGACCCACTGACAGCCCCTGGCTTGCTGAACAGGGAGACACTCTGCAGAGGCTGTAGACGTGCGGGGCCGAGTGGAGCAGAGATGAGGACTGGCCGTGAAGCTCTCTCGTGAAATGGCTAAGCAAGAGAGGGGCTGATGGATGCTGCTCAACTGTAGCACTTACTGGTAACTGTTTTAACATGTGAAAATTAATCTTTGCTTTTAAAGCTTTCTGAAAAGGCAGTCTGCGACCTTGGAGCGCTATGATTTGTGAAAATGGAGGATTTCTTTTTTCTCTTTTATAAATGGTGTTTAGAAGCCATGGAAAAGGTGACTTTGAAGTGGAAGATTAAATAGACTGAATTGAAATAATTTTGGGACAAATTCAAGTGCTAAGGAACTAAGTTCTTACAGGGGCTGGTGGGTATAGCTCAGTGGTAGCGCACCTGCTTGGCACACACGAGGTGCTGGGTTCAATTCCCAGTACCTCTATTTAAAAAAAAAATACTAAATTCTTGGTTCCAGCTATAATTTTGTTGAAAAGAAGACAGTTTTCTATACTTGTGGCAACAGAGATAAAAAGAGGGGGTATTACAGGTGGAGTCTCAGAGTCTGGAAGTCTGAGGAAAAATTTTCCTTTGGGGCCCCTTTAGAACCATGTCTTGAAGCCAGGACATCTGTTAGCTTCTGAGGATACTGACCACTCACAGATGGCGAGCAGCCCACCCCCCCGCTCTCCCTCCTCAGGAGTCACCTCGGAGTGGCCTGGACTGGGCGGCACAGAGCCTCCCCAGGCAGAGGTGGCCTGTCTCCTCCATCACAGGTCCTCAGGGTCCCCACCTTCATCCAGTGTCCGCTGGACTTGGAACACAAATACCTCCCACATCTCCACATGTCACATTTTTCTGAGAGTGCCTGAGTATATTTTCTGACCTTATTAACCAGCCTTTAAAAAGTTAGACTAATTAACTACTGAACTATTTACTATATGTTATCTAAATTCTTGTAAGAAATTGAAGGTCAACATTAAAGTTGTCTGAGTAGGTGGGTGTAGCTTGGTGGTAGAGTGCGTGCCCAGTACACATGAGGTCCTGGGTTTGATCACCTGTACCTCCATTTCTTCAAAAAAAGAGCTAAAGGGCAAAGGAGAATTTTAGATTGCAATCCAAAAACATGAAGTTGCTGGATTTCCCTTTTCACAGTTGTGGGCTACTAAAGATGCAGATGCTAATCCGTTTAAACTCCAGTGTGGGACTGGCAGATACAAACTACCATGTATAGAACAGATAAACAACAAGGTCCTACTGTGTAGCACAGGGAACTCTGTTCAATACCTTATAATGGCCTATAATGAAAAAGAATATGAAAAAGAATATATATGTATAACTAAATCACTGTGCTGTATACCCAAAATTAATACAACATTGTAAATCAACTAAACTTCAATTTAAAAAATGGGGGAAAAAGAGAAATGTTTGAATTTAACAAAAAATAAGGATGCAGATGCTCCCTGAGGTCTCCAGGCTCTTGTGCCTGGGGGCTGGCTTCACAGACACCCTCCGCCTGTGCAGTCATGGAGCCCCCAGGCTCAGAAGGGCCCTGTGCTCGGTCTGACGTTCTGTTGTGCCTGTCTTATAATTCCTAATAATTTTTGAACAAGGGCACTTCCATTTTCATTTTGCACTGAGTCCTGCAAATTAGCCAGTCCTGCCTCTGTGTCTATATATCTCAGTGTTTCCCTGAGAGCTTACGATGTCTTTCTTTTTCAGACTGCTGATGCTCGAGGGATGTTTGTTGAGGGGAATGTTTGGATTGCAAACGTTTAGAGTCAACTTTGTGATGCTTGATTCAAGAGTCAAAAAAAAAAAATAGAGAGAGAAAAGGAGACTTAAATGTAAGGTCAACATTAAAATGACAAAGAGAAAACCAGTAGCTCAAAAAGAAAGACTGGATGACTGCATTAATACACTATCATGTCAGAGCAAGGTAAAGATACTTATTAGAGGTCAAGGTGAAGTGAAATGAACAGCATGAATTCATAACCATTGAAAAAATGTTTCTTTCTATGTTGTCACTGAAGCAGTTAAAAGTCCCTGTGCTGCTCTGTCTCCAGTGCTCATGTGAAGTAAGATAATGGGCTCTTAAGCACCAAGATTTTTGTCTCTAAATATATATATTTATATATAAAATATATATATAAACAATAATACTAATTATTGTTTAAAATAATCAGGGCTTCCTGGAGAGCAGCTAACTCCGTATTAGCAGTAGAAAGGCTTAAGATGAACTTGGGGAACTTGTAATCTTATCCCTTGCAAAATTCAACCATGTGTTTTTAGTTCAGCAAAGAAAGGATGCTTTGCCAAGGAAGCAGGAAGCATGAGTTGCTGTGGATTTATTTTCTGAAGACAAACGATTCTCACTTTATTTGGCTCATGGTTGAAGGGCATGATCTTGATTTTAGCAAATCATTTGGCAAAATCATGTAATAGAGAAAGAAATGTGGAGTGGATTTTAAGAAAAATATATTCTTTACCTGAAAAAGAATATATATATATATATATAACTGAATCACTATGCTGTACACCCAAAACTAATACAACATTGTAAATCAACTAAACTTAAAAAAAAATGGGGAGAAAAGAGAAATGTCTGAATTTAAGAAAAAATAAAGATGCAGATGCTCCTGAGGTCTCCAGGCTCCTGAATGAGGAGACGCAGTTACAGGGAGGCATGTTTAACTGAATGTGAGGAAGAAGTTTTGATCAGAGCTGCTGCATCACAGCACGGGTCACCTCCTAAGGTTACTGTTGTCCAATTACTTTTTGAGATGTTGTAGGAGGAATTCTATTCTCTACAGCGGGTGGGAGGGAGGAATCAAGTGGAAAATTTAGAAATGTTTATTAAGCAAATCTAACCTTCAAAAATCCTCAGAACCTCTTGATTAATGTACTTCTTTATTTCTTCAAATGAAACCACATCAGCCTAAAGAAAAAGGAAAAAAAAAAGGCTCTGTTAATAGAACCTAGCATGAGAATACAGAACAGAAATATTGGGTTGGTGTGTCTACTCAAAACCTGTAGAGATCCACTGATCAACCAAAATACTTTGGGCAAATGGCTCTATGAGACAATAAGTATCTTTTGTTTTGATCCAACGCTGGGAAGAAGCACATAATGACTTTGAAAGCTGTGGGCTGAAACCACAACCAGCGATATGACTGTGTTTCCTATTAAATGGACGGACATGATTTCATACAATTAGGAAAGACACTTCCCACTACTTCATTATCTGAAGTTACAGAATTTAAACCAGTGACACCATCATAATGTTTTAACTTCTGTCTAATCCCTGGACACTGGTGAAGTCAGTATCACTGACTTTACTGTGTATCTTCAAAGGAAGAAAACCTGGAAGAGGACTACAGGTACGCTGAATTATTCTTTAAAATGTTTTATTCATGGGTAAAACTTGGTAAATTTCATCTTATAGTCAAGTTTATTTTGTAATTTACACATGGCAGGCATATTTGTATTAAGCATTTTTTTTTTTTACTTAATAGAAAATGTTACGGGATCTGGTAAAGGGAAGTAGACAAATGATGTCAGTTGAATTTTTACTCCCTTGACAGGTAAATTGACATGAATTTGACAAAGGATCTAGCATTTACTATAGTGATGTTTTACTATAGTACCTGATATTTTAAAAAGGGAGCTATTATTTTTCACAATGGTTAGGATTTCAAAGTATTTTGTTCCTTTGTATTTGGTGATTACTATTTGAGAGTACATTGTGTGGCATTAAGGACAATCTGATGGGCTCTTGAAGCAATGACTTGTGTGGAACAGAATAGTTCCAAGAATGCCCTACTTTCGGGGGAGGGTAGAGCTCAGGGGTAGAGTGCCTTGCTTAGAATTCATGAGGTCCTGGGTTCAATCCCCAGTCCCTCCATCAAACGAAAAAAGGGTGCCCTATTT